GTTTAGTCCATTATCCTCATGGCAGGGAGCATGGCTGCACGCACGGCAGCAGGCATGCACGTGCTGGAGCAGTAGCTGAGAGCTGCATCCTAGTCTACAGGCAGAGAGAGAGGGATGTGGGGGGGGGAGAGAAAGAGAGAGAGAGAGAGAGGAGGGAGGGAGGGAGGGAGGGAGGGAGGGAGGGAAGACTGAAACTCAAAGCCCAACCCCAGTGACAAACGTCATCCAACAAGGGCACACCTTTCAATTCTTTAATTTCCAATAGTGCCAGTCCCTGGTGACAGCGCATTCAACTGTAGGAACCTGTAGGGCCATTCTTGTTCAAACCAGCACACAGCTCCAGACATGCATGCCATCCACTCTCTTTGCTTCGGATATAGTTCCTCTACCTTGGAGTCACTGCCACTGGGGGACATTAGTTCTTTGCTGTGGGTGGCTGTTGTATGCATTGTAGGAGCTTAGCGGCACTCCTGGCCTCTACCTACCTATAAGCCAGTCATACCTCCCCTTCACCCTCAATCTGAACAAAGACACCTTTGAACATGGCCAGATGTTCCCCAAGGGATCTCTAATTGAGAACCAGTGATTCTGATGAGGAAAATGGGGTCTAGAGAGAAAAACATTTTCAAGGCCACTTACCTAATGTGAATTAGCGCCGAATGAGCCTAGCTGATTTTCCCACCACACCATCACCTCTCTTGAGCCTGATGAGTGTAGGTTTCCATCTCCACTAATTGGGCTTTAGGAGAAAGGCCTCATTCATGGGTTCTGCTAGTTCCAAATGGCCTCTTAAGCACCAGTGTTTTTCTATCCACAAAGAATTCCCAGTATCTCAGGTCAAGGGAAGGTTCAACCTCTGCAGGAATGGAGCCTTACTGTGTGTGTGTGTGTATACATATATATTTATATATATATGTATATGTATATATATATGAATGAAGTCCTGTGTTCTTCCCCCCCCCTCCACCTTTCTACCTGCCCTCTCTTAGTTCATAGAAAAACTGATACAGTCCTCAGAGAGGTTCTACCTGGGACAGCTGGGTTGGGCTACAGAGAACAAGGACATCTCCATAGCCGTGATCATGGTGGCCAAGCTGCCGAGCTAAACAGTACATAGTGACACTGAAGTGGGATGGGACCACTGTGGAGTGGAGCGAGCTGTGATTACCACGTCCTTTAACTGACCACCCTCGAGCTTGATCATGGGCCAGCTCCAACTGTCCTTCCCTGTAAATCCAGGCGCCATTCTTTCTGTGTATTTAGATCTCGGCACTTCCTTAGGATCCTTCCCTCTATGTTTTCTCCCTTCAGGGTGGAAGCCCGACCCCCTTTGACAGGAATTTCGCCACTAAGATGGGTGCTAAGGCCATGAATTGGATGTCTGGGAAAATCAAAGAGAGCTACCGTAACGGTATGTGGGGCGGGAGGGTGAGCCCCTTCTCCAGAAGTTCACTCCCCAATTGAGAGACTGACTGACTGTCCTTTATTCCAGGACGGATCTTTGCCAATACTCCAGACTCAGGCTGTGTTCTGGGGATGCGCAAGAGGACCCTGGTCTTTCAGCCAGTGGCCGAGCTGAAAGACCAGACCGATTTTGAGTAAGTCATTACGTTCCAGAATGGCCCTCTCCCTGCTCCTAGTTACCCTGCTTTCCACAGCCTCTTAATTGTCTCTAATGCTTGTCCTTTTGTAGTAACACCTGTAGGTTCTCATGCCCTAAATCCAGCCTCTTTTGCCCAGCTTCTTCCCATAAGCCTTTGGTAGAAATTGACTGGCGTACGCTACCACATCGCCATTATTTCATCTCTCCGTAGGCACCGGATCCCCAAGGAGCAGTGGTGGCTGAAGCTGAGACCTATCCTCAAAATCCTAGCCAAGTACGAGATTGATCTGGACACCTCTGACCATGCCCACCTGGAGCACATTTCTAGGAAACGGTCTGGAGAAGCGGCTGTCTAGACCTCTTTGGAGTGAGGGGGAGAGCGTCTGATCATGGTCAGCTTATGCCCTGGTAGATCTAAGCCCATGATCTCTCAGTGTGTTAGCCCTAGCCCCCTACCCTATTAGGTTTCCTCCTACCCACAACCTTGATCAGCTGTGGCCAGGAGTTGGGGGAGGGGCAGTGAGTGAATCTCCTAGGTAACTGTCCTTCCTTCTGTCCCAGCTTCATCCGGCACACGGGCTGGATTTCTCTAGTGCTACTGCTAGACTTCAGCTACCCAGAGTTTTCCTAAAAATAAGCTTTATTTATTTCTTTGTGATAACAAAGAGTCTTAGATTCCTTTACTTTTCCCAGTGATGAAGTATAACTACACTAATAAATGCCAGCTGGTCACTGTGCTTCGGTACTCTTGTTATTACCTTCACAAGGCCATGTCCCAGACCCCCCGACAGAACTCCTGGGGGAACAGCACACGTGACTGTCCCGTGCACTTCTGCTTGTTGGAGGGTTTGGTTTTTCAGCATCTCTTGGTATATAGTGTCCCCGAACACACAATACAGTACTGCCCCTCAGCCCCTCCCCCACTAGTCACTATCCTCTACAGCCAAGACGATGTGCCTGTCTCCAGGCCTGAGGTCACGGTTCAGTTCTTGATCCTGTGCCTATTACCCAGGCTCACTTTTTCCTCGCCATCCCACAAGTCTGCTCAACTCAGCATCCATCCTTCTCAACCCTTCCTTGGACAAAAGCCAGACTCTGACAGATCCTGACATGCACATTTTGGGAAGCCTGGACAATAGAGACACCCAGTTCTGAACCTGTGTTGGTGGGTTGGTTGGAATACACACGCTTTAGAAAGATGTCAGATCTTACTCAGCCTCAGTCTGTCTTCTGTCTACTGTAGATGGGCCCCAGGAGTGGGACTATAAACTGTACCCCAGGTTGACAGGAGGGTGTCGTATTTTTAATGTGACTGTGACTCTCAGTTCCACCTATGCCTATCCCTCCCAATCCATACAGCTGTCTTCCTTGCCTGCCGAAGTAGGGAAGACAGTCACAGTACTGCAGTAGGCATTTGGCCAACTGAAGTACTGCTTTACACCCGTGTGGCAGTTCTAAATGCTCTTTGGCATTCTGTAAAGGCTGAGAAATAACAGTAAACACCAAGTGCTGCTGTGTTAGGCGTTCTACATGTTACCAGTGAATCCCCAAAAGAGCGTTATGAGGGGGAGTCCTGACAACCCTCTCCAGAGATGAGGACAGTGTCTCGGAGTGACTAAGTATTGTCTCCTAGGTTTTAGAGCTTAACAAAACTGGGAGTCAAACTGTTCTTTAAAAAATGTTTTTAGCCAAATGTGGTGGTGCACGCCTTTGATCCCAGCACTCGGAAGGTGGAAAAAAAAAAAGAATACTGATGCTTAGTCCCATTCTGAATTAATTCAGTCTTGGTGGGTGGAGTTTGGCTTTAGCATTTCATTTCCCTATATGGCCTTTAATTATTGTTAGGTTTGAGACCTCCTGCCTATAGTACTGGATCTTGTTCCCGGCTATACCTTCAAAGCCTCTAAGAGCACAGCCCTTCCTCAGAAATTCTAAGCAGTATGGGTGAAATCTTGGCCTTGGTGTTTTTAAAGCTTTCTTAGAGCCTTAATGTGTAGCATTTTTCTTTTTGTAAAATTTATTTTATGAGTGTGTTTGCCTACATGAGTCTTAAGTGTACCATTTGCATGTAGGATCCTATAGAGATCAGCTCTCCCTGGAACTGGAGTTACAGATGGTTGTGAGCCACCATGTGGATGTTGGAAGCTGAGCCATCTCGCTAGTCTTTTTTAGCGGTGCTGGTCATTGAACCTAGGGCTTTGAGCATGCTGGTCACGTGCTGTTACCACTGAGTTATACCCTGCAGCTAAGGTTAAGAAATTTCAAATCTGGGGTCAGGGGTATGACTGAAGCAGAAGTTTTTAAACACTATGCCTGGCTTTCCTGCTCACCATGCCCAGAATTACTTGCTGAGAGGAGACAGAAGGGTACGCTGAAGAGCCAAGCAACCCCTTATAAATGGGCAGCAGAGGAAGCAGAGAAAAGTCGAGACAGTGGAAGCTGCCAAATTTGCTTTCAGAATTGTTTATTTATTCTTTTTTCAGTGGGCAAACCCAGCAACAGTGAAGGACAAAAGCAGGCAGGCTTTTTCAGTTAGCTGCGCCAGACGGCCCTATTCATTTGCGTGTAGTTCCAATCACTTTTTAAAAAGTGCTTTCCAAACTTGCATACAGATAACTTAAGGTCAGTACCAACTTCATCTAGTTTAAGAACACGAAAAGGAAGAATACTGTTCACTGAAACAGGTCCTTTTGGGTAGGCAGGCCAATTCCAAAGAAACCCTTTTATATTCTGTTCCCAGCTCCACTTTCCCTACCGTTTTCTACGGCTCAATAAAAAGCAAAGGTTCCAAGAGGGTAGAAAAAAACCACCTTCAAACTCCTAGGGAGTGAAGCTCTCCGAGAAGGCAGTGCCCTCACCCTGCCTTGCTAGAGCAACACCTCTTCTAAGGTGCAGGAAACTCCTGCTCAGCCCACTAGTGCAGAGGAGTTTCAGGGAGAGAACCACATTAGGAGAATGGCCCCGCAATCTCAGGACTGCTGAGACTCAGTATCTCTTCTTGTGGGGAGCAGCAAGATATTTCTGTGAAATCACACTACAGAAAAAGGCAAAGAAGTCAGTCATCTGTTTGGTGAGGAGAAAGGAGCCAGTCCCTTCTGAATGCCCAGTACTGAGTCTACCCCCAGCTGAAGTTCAAGCATTCATCCTTGGAACATAATTCTTATTCATTGCAATTGTGATTTGTCTTAAACTTCAGATTAACTAAACATTTTTAGGAGAAACTTCTGCTAAACCATGACCCCAAAGGAAAAACCATATACTCTGAGTACTTTACATCTTCCTAGGGAAATTTAGTTACACTGTTGGCTCTCAAGTGTCCTACGGGGGGGGGGGGGGGGGGGGACCTCTTTTGTAGGGTTCACTATCAAAAGGCAACTAAGCAATAAAACAGCAAACGGAAGTGCAGAAAGTTTCTTATTTGGGTTTGGTTGCTCGGTATGGAGAGGGGAGATGGTACACACATTACTGTTGTGATGTGCTGCCTCAAAAATCTATAAACCACACAATAGAAACAAGTTCTTTTCTGTGTTCCATGACAAAGAGACAGTATTGCAAAGAAAACCTCACCCGGAGTTGTCTGCATGATGGCGGACATGTCTCCTCCAGGCTATTCTAAGAGTAACAGGTATTCCTTCAAAGAAGCTGGCAGTGGAAGACCCTTCACCGCATCGGGCAGGTACTGGAGACCCAGGCTATGGCGTACAGCATAGCGGGCGAGTGTCTTAAGAGTCCCTGGTGCTGAGCACAACACAGTCAGTTTTTCACATAGCTGCTGGTCTTTGGTCACTTCTCTTGGCATGGTGCCATTTTTCCTCAATTCAAAGTGTCCAACAGCTCTATGGAGGAGCTCAAAGCAGGAGTCTTCTTTCTTTGTTCCAAGTCCTCTAACCAGCAGAGCCACCAGGCGGGAGATGGGTGTCTGGCCTTTTAAGTTGATGACTCTGACCTCAGCACCATAGTCAAGAAGGATGCTGACACTCTCAAGATTTCCCTTCATGGCAGCCCAGCTGAGCGGTGTATCATTGTTGTAATCCAGGGCATTGACGGATGCCCCACTCTCTAGGAGAGCCCGCACACACTCAGCGTTGTTTTTAAAGGCTGCCCAGTGAAGCGGGGTGTCTCTGTTGCCATCCAGTGCATTGGGGTTTGCACCATATTCCAACAGGACCTCCACACAAGCCTCATCTTTCTCTGCAGCATAGTGGAGGGCTGTCCGGTTGTAGCCATCCAGGGCATTGACCTACAGAAAGGAAGGAAGGGGTTTACAGTGGGCAACGATGCCTGCGTGGATTTGCCCACTCCCTTCGTCATGCAGTGCTCTCAACAATGAGGCAATGTGCAATTCCCCAGAAGTCCTGGTGATCCAGATGAGATGACACAGATAAGGAACTATCATCCCACCAGGCTGGCAGGACTGCCGTGTCCACTTCTCTACACTAGAGTCTGCCACACAGTGGGGACTGAAGAGGGAAAAGATGAAGTCCAAGTCTCTAATACCGCTCTGAGAGAAATTCTCCACTATTTACTCTGACACTTTCTATATCCTGTGATTAGTGAAAACCAGAAAGAAAAACAATGAAGTAAAAACTCTGTCCTTTTCGCTTTGTTGTGTTCTTTAGTCCCACAGAGATCTCAGATGAACTCACGTGGAGGAAAAGCACAAACTTCCTGTGCTGAAACGGCAGGTGCCTCACTGAACCAATCCTCACCTCAAACTCCCGATCCACAGATCTCCTCCGCACCATACGGTGCACTGGAGCCAAAGCACACCGCTTACCGGAGCTTTCCTCTGCCAAGCCTCACTTTCCCTTTGGTCACGGGGGTTAATCCCTCAGGGTCACTTCATTACAAAAAGGTCTAACCACAGGGCTACAGACTAACTAGTGCTGCAGAGAGCAGCATGCACGTACGGAGACGTTACGGTGGGACTTGCTGCTTCTGCCTCCTGTCCAGCGTGTTTGGGACTGCACGCCGGTGGGCTCGATGGCTTGTCTGATTCAAATTAGCACTCAGCATACACCATCTTCAGGACTGCTCACAACAAACAGAGCTGCCAGATCAATTTGTCATGTACGTACTTAGCAACTGCTATAAGCCAGAAATGCAAACACTTTATAACCTTACGGCATACCCTTTTTATAGATGGGGAAACTGAGGCAAAGGCAGGGTTTAAGGAATCTGTTCAAGGTCATACAACCGAAGGCACTTGGGCTGGAAGTAGAATCCATGAAATTGGTTCCAAAGACCTTTTGGCTAGTCAGCTTCTGAGTCTTGTTATATATCCAAGCTGGCTTCCAACTTACAGTCCTTTTGACTCACCCCTCCCAGTGCTAGGATTACAGGTGAACACATACCATCATGCCTGGCTCAGAGTCTGTTCTTTCAATCATTCTTTATATTATGCTGCTTCATGCCAATACCAAGAGCCTACTTCCAAAAATTTTATTTTTATCTTAAGAAGCAATTACAAAGAAGACAATAATCTCCAGAATTTCACATGTCTAAGAATATCTTACATGGCTTAGAATTAGTTGGAGTTGAGAAGCCTCCAGACTTATCGTGACTGTATAGTCCGCAGAAGAGGAGTCAATGGAAATATGAACAAACCCCAGGAGGTAGGCAGGGAAGGAAAGAGAAGTAAAACTCCTTCTTGGAGCCATGCACAGCTTAAGTGAATTTTTTTAAAAAAGGCAAAGGGATAAAATCCTTAGAATGATCTTATGGATGTATGATTATACCTGGCTTTAGTAACATATGCCGATGTCACCATGAGTTGCAAAGTAAGCTGGAAGGTGCGAAGGGAAATTCTAGGAAACATGAAGGTCAAGTGTTTTTTGTTTTGTTTTTTTTCTGTTTTGTTGTTGTTGTTTTTGGTTTTTCGAGACAGGGTTTCTCTGTGTAGCTTTGAGCCTTTCCTGGAACTCACTCTGTAGACCATGCTGGCCTTGAACTCACAGAGATCCACCTGCTTCTGCCTCCCGGTGCTGGCATTAAAGGCGTGTGCCACCACCGCCCAGTCGAGTTTTTATGACTCACTAACGTGGAAGTGTTGGGAACGTCACTCACCTCCGCCCCCTTTTCCAGCAGTAACTCCACGCAGTCGGCATCCGACACCATGCAGGCACAGTGCAGGGGCTTCAGTGTACCGTGGGTGCAGTTCACATCTGCTCCCTGTGGAAAGGAGTTCAGAAGCCACAGAAGGGACTTGATGGGGGGAACTCCTAAGCCTCAATATACAAGAACTCCAAGTACCAATTATTTCTAGTAATGAATTCCAGTACTCAAACCAAGGGAATATTGAAGAGGAAAAAAAGGAAGTCATTTCTCCAGATGAAGCTATTAAATTTTTCCACAACACAGCCTGCCAAAATGCCTCCCCTCCCTCCTTCCCCACCCCGACACCTCTGATGACATGGCCTTATGTGCAAAAGCTGTGGGAAAGCTGGCCCAGCCTCCCACTTTCTATGGCCACTGTGCTCTGCAAGTTATGAAAATGAGTCTCAGACTGAGGCCAGAACTATTAGGCTCTTTTTACAATTCAACAAATGACGCTAACCATAAGGCTGTCTTAATGGTGTGTTGACAAACTCTTCAAGGTGGCCTGAGTCTCAGCATTACTCCTAATCTGGCTCAAAGTGTGCCATTCCCACCAGCAGCAGAGCTGGAATGAGAACAGACAAGTTTCCACGGCCGAGACTTCCCACCCCACCGCGTTGAGAATGAGCTATGGCATTCCTTCCTTCCACCTGTGTGCAGCTGACCCAAAGAGAAGGTCCGCAAGTTGTTTTAAACCATGTAGTGTAGAGTAACCACATGGTCACATTTTCCAAAACATTACTCTGTAACTTCTCCTCTTCAAAGGAGGGAGGGTACCAACGCTTTCCAGGGTACTAGTCACGTGACAGGGTTACTGCAGCAGTGCTTGGAGATCAGAGAAAGTGTTTCCTTCCTTTTAAAGGAAGTGAGACTTATTTTTAATTATGCGCGTGCGTGCGTGCGTGCGTGCGTGCGTGCGTGTGCGTGTGTCCTTGCATGAGTTTCTCCACACAAGTGCATGTGTCTACAGAGGTCAGAAGAGGCATCAGAGCCCCGGTAGAGTCAGTTCCAGGTGGCTGTGAGCTGCCTGATGTGGGGGCACACTCTCCATCACTGAGTCACTCTCAGGTCTTTAATTTTCTTCATCGGTAATTACTACACACTTCAGGGGACACGGTCTGCTGTGGAACTCAAACTAGTAGCTGTTGTAACCAAGCAGGAAAGTGAAATCTCTCCCTGCAATCACCATCGCCCAGGTCTGAAGGAAACCTCCAAGGATTTGAAACCTGCCCCCCACTTTGCTTGCCTCCTAAACCCTCCATAACACATGGACGGAAGACTCTGAGCTGATTGACTTTCACATATGTGCATGCTCCATATCCTGTCAGGTTAAAAAACAAAACCAAAAACATGCAAGTAAGGTTATCTAGACTATATTTTATGAAGAAAAACATCAAGGACATAAAGGCAGATGAAACAAAAGTTAGGGAGCACATATTTTAATGATCATGCTAACACTGATGAGCATGGAGTGTGTGCTCAAATCAAGGTTGCAGCTCAAACACCTATGGGAGTTTAGCAGGGATTCTCACACTTCCCCTTTCAAAGGTCTGCTCTATCAAGAATGGGCCACTCACCCCTCTGATGAGGTCCTCTACGTTGTCATGTGGGAAGGAGCGGATGGCAGCGATTGTTCGGATCAGGCGTTCTGAGAGGGAGTATTTGCTCTGAATGCTCTGCATAATATACCACATACTGGAACTCATCAAGGCTCAGAGTATGTTCACATGCTCCAGACTGCCTGAAACAAAGAAGTTTTAGGCATATACAATATCACTGAGTATACCTGTCCTCAGGGTTAAGCATTTTCTGAGGGTTTTTCCACTATAAAAAGTTGTCAAGGAGCTCAGTGATTAATCAATGCCACCTCCTGTAATAGTAAGGCAGATTACAATAGCTGCTAAGATGTTAACTAAACCTGGATACTCTCTGATGCCTAGGACAAGATCTCCCTAAGAGGTCTGGTACTAAGATCCCCAGGGGGTGCCACATGGTCTACATGGCTAGCAAGGAGTAAGAGTTGAAGGCTGAAACAGGAAGCACTCTTTTCCAACTCTGAATTTTTGTTTTTATTATCGGTATCACCTCCAGGTTCCTCACAATATAGCCGTGCACACATTGTTGTTTTTCCATCTGAATTAAAATCAACCGGCCAGATAGGACACTGTCTTCTACTGTCCTATTCAGTAAAGCCAACCACCACCTCCCGTAAGATGTAGACATTTAACACATATTGGTTGCTTGACAGGCTGTGGAGATGCTCTCAGTGCCTGTGAGAAGAGGGAGGCTATGGAACAAACATAACTTGATGGAAGTCATCTCTGAAATATTTTCAAATATTCAGTAGCAAAAAAACAAGAAATAAGTTAACATTCTAAATTAAGGAAGAGCCGGGCGGTGGTGGCGCACGCCTTTAATCCCAGCACTCGGGAGGCAGAGCCAGGTGGATCTCTGTGAGTTCGAGGCCAGCCTGGTCTCCAAAGCGAGTACCAGGAAAGGCGCAAAGCTACACAGAGAAACCCTGTCTCGAAAAACCAAAAAAAAAAAAAAAAAAAAAAAAAAAAAATTAAGGAAGAAAGTGAGTGTATAACCACTCTGGAATCAACCTAAAAAGTTCATACCAATAAAATATGCTTTTGGTTACTGGAAATAAACAGATCTAAAATAAAAGCATTTTAGTAATTGACTAGTCAATACACCTGAGAAATATATTTGTGCAAATGTGTTGAAACCACATTATGGCAGAGAATTCTAGGATGAAAAGAGAAAATAATTCAACATACTTAGATTTATAATAAAAGCTTTAACAATATAAGATGTGTTAAATGATACATCTTAAAATGACAGCCAACAAAGTGACATGTTTTTTATGAAAAAAGCACCTATCAAAAACTGGAGAAAAAGTTGGCAGTGGTGGAGCACGCCTCTAATCCCAGGTGGAGGCAGGTGGATCTCTGAATTCCAGGCCAGCCTGGTCAACAGAGGGAGTTCCTGGACAGCCAGGGCTACACAGAGAATCCATCTCAAACAAAACAAAACAAAATAAACAAAAAACCCGGAGGAAAAATATAATAAGCAGCTCCAATTCTTTGGTGTATTTGCTTAGGAATCTGTGTTTTTATGAAATATCAACCCCTCAAGAGTTAAGGTAATGGGAGGCTTTTAAAGTAACACCTGGTACATGAAGGTCCTCAATACACATTTGTTAAATACTTGACTTGGCTTCACACCATCCAGCACCCAGGATCCACGCACCAAACCTCTGGGTCAGCAAAGTTGCTGTCAAGGTGTGACCCGGAAGCAAAAGCTTTTTTACTTTGGAACCTAACCGTCTTTGTCATTACACATGCAATTACTAATAACATGACTATGAAAAAAATGTGTTCAGTAATTCTGTAATACAGATTTGTTTTTGTGATGGGGTATCCCTTTATACATTGTATAATATAGTATAAACTCTACTAGTTTCTGCTAACCAGTAGCCATTTCTATCTATCTCAAGGTGTACAAGGCTGTGGGTCCCGCCTGGTGGTAGAGTGGCTGCTCCTTGGAATTTGGCAAATCCTTTTTTCAACTCCTAGCACTCAAAATAAACTCACTTTCTCTCCTCAAAATAAACTAACTCACTCCCTCACCCCCACCCCCCACCCCTCCACACCCATCAGATCATCAACATCTGTATCTTACACTTTGTAGCAAAGGGAACAAAAGCAGGGGGTGGAGTGGGGGGGGAGTGGGGGGACGTGCTGCAAAGGTAGGTTTGTCCGGGGGTTCCAACACTGATGTGGACAGAGGGGACAAAACCCAGGCTATCTAAAGGGGAAGGCATGGACTGGTGTGGTTGTTAAGTTTCTGGTGCATAGTTAAGTAGACGACAATAAACCCTGCACTCATTTTACGAATGTTCCTGGATCCCTGGTTCCTGGAACCCTAATCGAGCACGGCTGGCAGGTGTTCACCTCCTGCTACCGTGAAGCTCCAGGTGAAAACAGTGTGACAGCACTCGCAATCAGGACGAGTCAAGATCATCTAAGTCTCCACGCCCCTTAGTTTCCTCAGCTGGTGCTCACCCGCCCCATGCCCGGTGCTCTTTCCCTATGGCATGCACAGCAAACACCTTCATTTAAAAAAAAAAAAAAAAGCAACGCAGAACGACACTCAGCAGACACAACAGCTCCTGCTCTGGGCAGGCCTGGGCCTCGCCGCCACGGGGACCATCGACCCGGACGGGGGACACCCAACCCCATGACACCTGCTGCTGGAGGCTCGCGGCCGCTGGGCCTGGCGGAGCCCAGGGGCCGGGACAAGGGCATGACATGCCAGGACTGCGGTGTCCCTTGCGGCGGAGGCCCCAGGAGCTCGCAGCAATCCCGGGGAGCCTCAGCCTGCACCCCGGGGCGCTGACACCGACTTGTCCCCGCCCCCACCACCCGCAAAGGCCGGGAAGGGAGGCCCGCAGCCCTGGCAGGTGGCTAGGGACGTTCCTGGCTGCGGAGCTCCCGGCTGGGGACCCGGCTTCACACCGTCCCACACCCGCGGCCGCACTCACCGAACCGTGGGCAGAGCTCGGTCCGGGAAGCCGCTGTCAAGCCGTGACCCGGAAGCAGAAGCGGCCCGCGGCAGCCCTATGTTTTCAGCGCAAGACGGACCGAGGTGCCTAGGCGCCTGCGCGCTGGCCAAGGCGAGAGAGCCGAGCGCGCCTGCGCGGACTCTCGCCGCCGAAGGTGCTTAGATTTTTTTCCTGGGGACTCGGGAATCAGTTGCTTTTTTCCTGTGCTGCCTAAAAGCAGTGGGTGTAGGCGCGGTCTCTAACTCGCCCCCAGCCTTGGTTGCGTCTGTGTAGACCAGGCCAATGTAGGACCGTCCCACCGTCGGCCACCCTGTGTCTACATCCAAACCACGGTCCTGGACACCTCATCCTCACACTACTCTGCTGCCTAGCACCATCCATTTCAAAGTAGAGTACAAGCTTCACATACCTGACCTAGTGAGGGGCTGGTGACTGCCTCTCTACTCTTGATCTGATTAACCCAGGGTACTTGAACCACGGCTCTCTCTCTTGAGAATTCACACACAACAAAAGCAGGTTTCCACCTGGGCCCGGCAGAGAGGATGGGGTCAGAGGATCCAGCAAGACAAAGTACTATAACCTGGAGGGTGGCGTCCACCTCTCTTCGGAGGTTCTGGGCCCTGACAGCTCTGGTTCAATGCCATGCACCAAGCAAAACCATAGGAGAACAAGGCTAGGGTTTTGGTTCTGAGAGTGATTTATTATTTCCCTCAGTTTCTCTGAGTATTAACTTTCTCGATGTTGGCTGTAATGATACTTAAAAATCCTTCTAGTTTTAGAAATTTCTTTTTTATGTAATTCCAGAGCAAAAGGACTTGCTTCCAAAATGCTTACCCCATTGCCCAAATTAGAATAAGTATATGGCTATCATGATGCTACCGTACTACAAAGTGGAGCCCGCGAGCATTTCATTACAAAATTGCAAAGTCTATAGTATCTGTTCCACTTTTGCTTCTGCTGGTGCCTCCTTTCTAAAGGAAGATATAGACAACGGCGATTCTCAATTTTAAATTTTAATATCATTGTAGTTGGTTGTTTTGCTCTTTTGGGGGGCCTGCCACCCAGCTCCCAAATAAATCACACATGGAAGCTTATTCTTAATTTTAAATGCCCGGCCTTAGCTTGGCTTGTTGCTAGCCAGCTTTTCTTAAACTAGCCTGTCAACCTTTTGCCTCTGGGCTTTTACCTTTTTCTATTTCTGTATATCTTTCTTTCTTTCTTTCTTTTTAAGATTGGACTGTAGGCAAGCCTAAATTTTCTTTTCTCCTCCTCCTCCTCCTCCTCCTTTTTTAAAAGTGATTTATTTATTATATATACAGTGTTCTGCATGTATGCCTGCACGACAGAAGAGGGCACCAGATCTTATTACAGATGGTTGTGAACCTCCATGTGGTTGCTGGGAATTGAACTCAGGACCTCTGGAAGAGCAGCCTGTGCTCTTAACCTCTGAGCCATCTCTCCAGCCCCATATATCTTTCTTTCTTACTCCATTGCTGGTTGTGTAGCTGGGTGGCTAACCCCTTGTGTCCTCCTCCTTCTCTCGCTCGCTCTCCTTTTCCTCCCAGATTTCTCCTTCTATTTATTCTCTCTGCCTGCCAGCCCCACCTACCCTTTCTTGCTATTGGCCATTCAGCTCTTAATTAGACCATCAGGTGTTTTAGACAGGCACAGTAACACAACTTCATAGAATTAAACAATGCAGCATAAAAGAATGCAACACATCTTTTCATTATTAAACAAATGTCCACAGCATAAACAAACGTAGCACATCTTAAAATAATATTCTACAACATATTATAGGGAAAGGGGGCTGGCTAAAGAAACCCAGCCTTACACTAGAGCCCAGAACCAGTGAAAGAAACACATCCAAGATCTGGGATCTGAGCCAGAGAAAGAAACACTTCATCCCCAAACCCAAAAACAAAGAAACACCCTGACTCTGAAACCAGTGCCAAAGAAACACACTTTGTCCCTAGAATCAGAGCCAGGGAAAGAAATATGTCCTGGCCTTAGTATTAGAACCAAAAAGCTCAGAAAGGCCAGTGAAAGAAAAACAGTTTGGCTCTGAAATCAGGGCCATCTCTGCCCCTAACCCACAAAACTAACCAATCCCTGAGCAGAAAAAAAAACTAACCAATCCCTGGACAAAAAATCTTCTCCCTGGAGAAACTCCACCCCCAAGAGATCCTATATAAACCACCCTGCCTGTTCAGTTGTGAGATGTTCTTTCCCACCCTGGTAGAGGTAGCTACTCTCCTGGACTCCTCCTTCCCAAATAAATCTCTTTCTCAAGAGTCTTGGGTGTGAAGATCTTCATTTGCCAGCGCAGAGAAGAACCTTGCTAAGACATCCCTTAGTGGACTGAGCAGAAAAAACCTTGCAGAGACATTCCCTTAGGAGGACTGAGCAAGGCTGAGCTGAACAGAAGAACCTTGCTGAGACATCCCTTAGGGGACTGAGCAAGATGGAGCAGAAAAGTATCAACTTTTTTGCTGGAGCTGGAGGAGATTGCTACATTTCTGCAGGGGCTTCCCCTTTAGCAGAGTGAAGCAGAAGAAGCAACATCCTGGGCCAGAGAGAAGAAGCAGAGCTCTGCTGGGAAGCACCCTCGAGTGGAGGCTGAGCAAGGCTCAGCTGTAGCAACTCTCTAGGAGAGGAGCAGGATTGCTGTATCCTGCGGTGAGACCATCCTCCACTGCACCCCAACTCTAGGTATAGCCTGACTCCTGAACAGTCAGGATACCTTTTCCTCCAGAGCTGAGTTGTCCTAGCAGCTCAAGGTATCTGGGCTATCTTCCCCTCCAGAGCTGAGTTGTCTCATTACAGCTCCAGCTGCCGGAGCTGTCCTAGCAGCTCAAGGTGTCGCCTGACTCCCTGAACAGTCAGAATATCTTTCCCCCAGAGTTGCAACACTTACCTACACATATTACTTTTGTTATAAAAGTATTCAAACATACAGGAAAAACTAGAAAGAATAGTAAAATGAAATCTTTATAACCATCACTCATTTGTAAAACATTGTCTGTCTGTCACATTTAAAATCTAATTTTGTAGCCAGGTGGTGGTGGCACACACCTTTAATCCCAGCACTCGGGAGGCAGAGCCAGGTGGATCTCCGTGAGTTTGAGGCCAGCCTGGTCTACAAAGTGAGATCCAGGACAGGCACCAAAACATCACAGAGAAACCCTGTCTTGAAAAAACAAACAAACAAACAAACAAACAAACAAACAAACAAATCTAATTTTGTTTTTCTCTTGTTCTTTTTTCAAGATTTAGCTTGTTATTGGTTTTCTTTTTTTTTTTCCAGACAAACTACTCAAAAATGTATGTAATTCCTGCTGCTTTGGGGGATTTTTTTTTGTGTGAATTTCTCAATTATTTGTCTTGATGGTATCCCCCCACCCAATTCATTTCCCAAATCTACTGACCGATAAATACTAAAGACTATAAGTTATGAGGAAAAATTGGTATTTTATAAATGTAGGAATGATTGCATTTTGCCAGTAGGTGATGAAATCAACTACCCATACAGGTTGTTTTGAAGTGTCTTGGAGACCTGCATCCCAACAAAAGTAAGTTTTAGATTTGCCCATTACAGAACATTTACTGACCTCTTCTTACAGGCTCAGTTTTTCAGGGAGCAGAGATGAAGTGTGGCTCCTTTTGATTAAGGATTGGAAGGTAAACTTGATCATTGTGATTACAGTTAAGGACCATCACATCGACAAAGTCAATGTTGAAGAATCATTCTACGCCAAAAGGAAACCAAGGGAGTATAGGAAGGGGAGAGACCTATGACAAGTTTTATAGGGAAAAATTTGTGCTGTTGAGTCTCCTCTGTCCACCCACCCAAATGCTTCTTTCTCCTCAAGCATAAAAATGAACTTCTTTGGCACTGGAAAGTCAAGAACTACATCAGCATTTTTGCCTGATGTAAGTAAAAGAAGCTGCAGAGATGGATTTATCAATATGTTCTTGCACCAAATGTGGGCCACAAAGAAGACGGAAAATACGGAGTTGCCTACTGTCTAAAGGGTGGTCTAGAGGCATGGAGGAACCAGATGGCCTGAAGTTAGAAACAGATAAAGGAATCCTAAAATACATAGTTGGTTGTAGGCCACCACTTCCATGTCTTTCTAGGCCAAATGCATTTACTTAAGAGGGCTCTGATGATAGGAATCTCCAAAGAACTGTCAAACACTTCCTTTAGGAAAAAAAAATCAGCTTCTGCCATCTATTAGATGCGGTGCTGACCTTTTAAAGAGCAGCCCCTGGACTCCGGTGTCCTGCCTCCTCCCACTTTTACACAAGCAGATAGAATAGCATTGGCCAATGGGGAGGGGAGCTTTGGTGGTTTGTGAGGAGCAAGAGGTAGAAGGTCCAGAAGAAAGCTGAAGGCTGGCAGCCACCAGTTGTGGGCCCTACCTGGGGGAATGGAGAGAGCAGTCTTGGACTGACAATACCTTAGAATGAATTTGAGAATCTGATTAACGTTTTGGACGGGAAACCTAATTACTAAGTAAATTCATCTAGACCACCGTCTTTTTTTAATTTCAAGGGACTGTTCTGTAAAAGACTATCAATTAGCAAAGAATGAACCAAAAAGTAAAGTTTCCATCCAGGAACAAAGGAAGATAGCAACCTAACCCCCACCCCTAGGTAAAATATTTGAAAAAATGGTAAGAGCCTAAAGAACAAAGATGTGATTTGATCGCACCCATGACTTGTGCATTCCACATCTGAATTTCATCCATAGCTTCTTACTATGTACATAGTTATTTCTGTTCTTTGTAGCTTGAATAGAAGTGATCCATGGGTTTCTGGTTTGGGTTTTTTTGTGTGTGCTGTTTCCCATAAGACCATAGGTCATTTCCCACTCACTATGTTCCTTCCAATTCTGCCCTCAAGAAGGGCCCAGTAGGTAGTGTTAACTGGCAGACAGTCTAACTAGTGTTTCTATTTTCAGAGCTGGGCGTAAACTTGAGCTGGAAACTTGATAATGCTGTTATGGCTGTATCCACTGCTGCTAGCAGCAATCAACATGGATTAGTATCCAGACCATGTAGGGGCCACGGGGGTGAACCAGGTGACAGATCTGACGTCCTGCCTTT